CTTATATTCAATCCCTTTTCATTTCACAAAAAGGATCACAAAATTATATCATTTTGGCATAGCTTTACACTGCAGCGCAGATGCAGAATCTTGAGCCGACCGAATATTGTAATAAAAATTAATCAATTCCCGCCCCTTTCCCTCCGGCAACAGTAAACAGCTCACTATCAAACCAAACAGCGACTCGTTTCCCCTCATTTCTCAACAACTCTCTCCTAATTTTTCACTCTGTTAGTAACACACAAACACCAACTTCTATATACACATACATAAGTATATATATACACACATGATCTCACAATCCCTCTCACACATCTAATCTCCATCCCACACAAATCACACACACACATATATAGTTTGCGTTGCCGGACATGGACTCCACCCTAGCCTACGCCGCGGCTGCCGCCGCCCTATCCTCCTACCTCCTCTGGTTCTATCTCTTGGCCCGAAACCTCTCGGGCCCCACCGTCTGGCCCGTCATCGGCAGCCTCCCGGGCCTCTTCCTCAACCGTTCCCGCATCCACGACTGGATCTCCGGCCACCTCCGCTCGTCGGGCCCTTCCGCCACCTACCAAACCTCCACCCTCCCCCTCCCCTTCCTCCCCTCCGGCACCGGCTTCTACACCGTCACGGCCCACCCGCGCAACGTCGAGCACATCCTCCGCACGCGCTTCGACAACTACCCCAAGGGCCCCGTCTGGCAGTCGGCCTTCCACGACCTCCTCGGCCACGGCATCTTCAACGCCGACGGCCCCTCTTGGCTCGTCCAACGCAAGACCGCCGCCCTCGAGTTCACCACCCGAACCCTCCGCCTCGCCATGGCCCGCTGGGTCAACCGCGCGATCCGGTCCCGTCTCTGGGTCGTCCTCGACAAGTCCGCCCGAGACCACCGTCCCGTCGACCTCCAAGACCTCCTCCTCCGCCTCACCTTCGACAACATCTGCGGACTAACCCTCGGCCGAGACCCGGAAACCCTCTCCCCCGACCTACCTGACAACCCCTTCTCCTCCGCGTTCGACTCCGCCACCTCTGCCACCCTCGACCGCCTCCTCTACCCGCGCCTCCTCCGTCTCGGCTCCGAGCGCCGCCTCTGGACAACACTCAGAGTCGTCGACCAGTACATGTCGGAGGCTCTCGCCTCGCGTTCGCCTACAACCGCGTACTCGAACGACGACCTGATCTCGCGGTTCGCCAGGCGGACGGGCCCCGACGGGAAACCCTACCCGGACGAGGTTCTGAAGAAGATCGCGCTGAACTTCGTGCTCGCGGGCCGGGACACGTCGTCGGTGGCGCTCGCGTGGTTTTTTTGGTCGGTCATGAATGACGGGCGGGTGGAAGGGAGGATAATCGAGGAGTTGACGGGGGTTCTGAAGGAGACGAGAGGCGACGACGTGGCGCGGTGGAGGGAGGAGCCGGTGAGTTTCGAGGAGGCGGAGAAGTTGGTGTACATGAAGGCGGCGCTAGCGGAGACGTTGAGGCTCTACCCCTCGGTGCCGATGGATTTCAAGTACGCGGTGGAGGACGACGTGTTGCCGGACGGGAGTAGGGTTCCGGCGGGTTCGACGGT